CCCCAAAACCCCAAAACCCCAAAACCCCAACTCCTCTGCAGGCTATTGAAAAATAAAATCTAAATTATAATAATAAAATGGAAAGTATTCCAAAAGCTACTCAAGAAGAGATCACACAATTAATCAGGTAACAGATAGCTCAGTCTTTTGGGTGTTCTAAAGTGTCATCCTTTAATTTCCATAGGTTCTAAATTATTAATGTTAGATCCAAAATCTGTCAACTTCTTTTATAATTACATCAAAAATTCCTTGGCAAAGAAGTTCCTACTTAAATTATAGCGAATTTGTCAGCCTTATCTCTCCAGAATTCATTTGATATCTCAACAGATCTCTTTTTTTCCTAAATACTTAAACTTTATATTTTTAAATATTCCAATTAACACTTTTTTATGAATTTACGTAAAACTTTCTTAAAATTTTCCGACATTGGTCTAACTTCTCGTCCATCTATAATTGAACAGTCTAGAGAAGTCTATCTTGTCCGAATCCATGGAACAAGATTTCAGCAAATGTCAGAGCATTCTCTATAAGATCTGCCCAGAGAAGTGAGAAATTAAGCTATTGAATCCAAACTCCAATAAAGTTCAAGAAAAAAGTTACTTAGATATTAATTTCAGCAGTCTTAAAGATATGAAACTCTCACAAAGTTTCAAGCATCTCAGGTTCTTTGATATAAACAAGGTTTTGGTTTTCGTTGTTAATTCTAAAAATCAACATTGTGTTGATTTCTTAGAGTTCTCATTCCCAAATAAAACTAATGGGCTCTATTTCCAATCATGGGTTAAACTGGATCTAAATAAGTCCAATTACTTAAGCTCACTGACCAGACTTAGTTCTAAAGTTGCCCAAAGTGTGACATTTAAGGGTTTCTGCATTGGCTATCCCCAACTTAAAAGACTGGTGGCAGCTTACAAGCATGTCAGAGAGTTGGGATTGTGTAGTTGCAGATTATCTATTCCAAATGTTCCTGATTTTTCAAAGGCTCTCACAAACTGCCAAATCCAAGAACTAAGTTTATTCGGGTCAGGGAGCTATGATTGAAGTGACTGGGAGAACAATCTTGACGAGTTCAAGAACTTGGTACAAGGCTTGTCAAGTTCTCCAGAATTAAGATCGAATCTCCAAAAAGTTCACATTGGTGCTAGTGAAATGAACCAAAACGAAGCTGAACATATCTTTAAAGAAAACCAGCTTGGTGAAGTAGAAATAATAATTGATGACCATTAAGCTTTGTTAAATTTTATATTATCTTCTTAATTCCTATCCTTCTCCATATTTAGCACAAGGTGATTATTAATATATCCTGAGGTTTCGATTGGGGTTTTGGGGTTTTGGGGTTTTGGGG